TTAGTATGCATACTCTGCCCTGGGTACGAGCACTTTGGACTAAGTATATGAATAAAGCATCCGTTAGAAGGGGACAACAATGCCACAGACTCAATAGAAGCCAGTACCTTCATTGTTGACAAGAAACTCTGGCAGGAAGAAGAACTCGGGAATGAGTTCCTTGACATCGGTGCTGGACTGGTAAGACGACAGCCTCCATGAGGTATCCACGCAATGGAATGTACGGTCTGGCAAATCAAAGTGGTTATCTGCACCAAAAAGGGGGGGGGGAAGCAAAGAGAATAACAAGGACACAGGCAAAATGAGCGTAATGCCAATGGGGTCACTGTGCCCATCGTCAGAACAAGCACTTTACGTAGAGTTGGGTGCCCATCGTCAGAACAAGCACTTTACGTAGAGTTGGAGTTTGCAACGCAAAATCCTCAAGCATTTTGAGCTCTCAAACTGATGAGATTGCCTGCAAACCATTTCGTCCGATGTCAGTGTGACCCTTGTTTCTCATGCTGAGCCACGGGTAGATTTTTGCACGATGTACACTGCGTACGGTTGCTCACAAATTAGGTACAAATCTTGTACTACAAAGTCTACACATTTTACACAATTTGTACATGATTTGCAACCAACTATACGCAAATCAGAATTGCCATATTGCAAAATGTAAAATTCTGAAATACGGGGTGGCAAAAGTTTGTCACCTTTTTCCAATGGACCGGACACAATTAAATTACAATCCTGCACAGACCAAAATATAAATTCCAAACTCTTTGCATGATAGAAGTGGTACTCAGAAGCACTAAACAATGACGTCCACTGGTAATACAAAATTTCAACAAAATCTGTCACTGGATATCCGAAATTGGGAGGCAGACCCCCACTCAAGGTAAAAATCTCAGGTAAAAAGCTAAGGCAAATTTAAGGATTCAACAAGTGGAACAAAACCCATGACCAAGGCGGGTCAAAGGCGACAGTGGCATACCCTGATAATGAAGGAACATCTTGGTGAAGGGAGGCAGGCGGACCAGGTACTGCAGCACCGTGCCGCTGTTGGAGTAATGGGAGCCGTAGTGGTAGGGCTTGGTCCAGAACATGGTCTGCCCCATGCGGAGACCCTTCAGCTTCTGGTATTCCTCCTTCAGGAACTGGCAAGGATGAGAGAAGGTCAAGCAATGCTACCCAATTGACCTATCACTGTATAATTGTGCCAAAGCAACATGTGAAGTACTGTACAATGACATGACGAACAAAATGGATGATGGACATGAAAATCTGAGAGAACACAACTCAGTGCACAAAATTCCATGGGGTTTTCTAAAGGGGTATAGCTAAACTCCTCCACGACAAAGGAAAAACAAATGACGATCTTGACAGGTATCCATGTCACTGGCAAAGGTAGACAAGACTTCATCTGAACATTGGCTCCTTTTGCTCTGTGCATGGAAAGTCCTTTGTGGTGTAAAGGACACAGTATCACAGTAATGCTGGAGTACCGCTGGATGCCTTCTCGTATTGTGCGTGCTGGTTCATGGTATAACCAGTCGACAATATCCTGAATCACCAGACTATCCTTCCTTCGATATGAGAAGTTTCTCATACCGGTATGTTCTCACGCTGAGTCGAGACATGGCCAACCCTGATTGCTTCCAGAGCACTATGCCAAATTATGACATGCCACATACTACTATCATCACATGCTGTCATATGATAGATGTATGTCAAATGAGGGCACAGTTTATAGAGTCATCACTTGCATAGCTGCAAATATGCAACTTTTCAATCACAGGCTGATGTTGGGCGCATTTAACAGCAAAATCTTCGAGCTTCGGAAAATGAAAACTGTCAATGTGCCTACCTTGTAATTTTCCTTGTAACGATTTTCCATCGCTTGGGATTGGACGGCCACTGGTTTCGTCAGGTCTCTGTAGGATACAGTATTTTGTAGGATGCATTAAACAATTTCTGCCTTCATCTGTTCTTTAGTCTTTTCACTAAGTACATGCGTTCAATAACCGTCTGGGGACATTTCTGTATTTAAGCCACAAGCTCTCCATTTTTTGACTTTACAGCTTAATTTAACTCTAATGTGATACTACAAAATGAATCTTCATCTTGTTTTCACTAACTTGCATTTCTTGCAGTCATCAGCACATCTCAAGTTCTTCATTTTGATGCAACACATTCCCGTGTGCAGGTTTTGCTCGAAGGCTACTGACTCATAAGTAGTTTTGGTGACAACAACACATCTTTACTTCTCTTTTTCACCAAAACAAGATACATTCCCCCACAACAGAAGAAGTCATTTAAGCCAGAAATACAAACATTCTCTGGTGGTGAATGTGTTTCATGCTCATCTAGCACTTCAAATGCAACTTGTTGACAGTAAATCCATAGAGAAAAAGTACTCAGATGTAATGCCCTGTATTTGCATTATCTTGGACCTTTAAATGGGCCAAGATGAAAATTGAACTTCCCTTTTTGAAAAAGCAAACCTAAAAAATGGCAACATTTCAGTCCAACCTTTGATGATTCAGTGGCACTTGCCGAGTCCTGACTAACCTGTACGAATTAGGGTTCTCCAGGTCTAGGATTCTACTGGTGTAGTCACTCAGCACAAAGGGGAAGACCGGATACTGCATGAGGTCGTTGAAGGAGCGGCCGGCCAGCTTGTTGAGCTGGGTCAGGTACTCGTAGTTGGTCATCTGGCCCAGCCGCCAGGCCTGGGTCACGTCCGAGATGTCGTCCACCTCGACCAGGTTGGGCAGGTCGCAGGACTTGATCTGCTGGTACAGCGTGTCTCTCTCCTGGGGAGGGGAGGTGTGGGAGAGCGTCTTAGGTCAAATCAGTCAAGAAGTGTTCTTTAGTCAATTAGATCTTTCAAGAAAGACGGGCATATTAAAAATAATCCTCTGTCAAAGGTGAAACAAGAATTAATGATGTTGACATGCAGCACGCTTTTGCAAATGAAAAAAAAAATTCTCTGTCCATTTTCACGTTTGACGTATTAGCGCATCATGCTTGGTTAGGTCACAGTGCAATTGCAAGGTTGAAAAATTTAGGCGTAAAAACCCCCCGCCCCCAGCAGCTTTTTCAGGTAAGAAAATTTGACGTGTGGAAAATGCTGACAATATTAACAGATTAGTGTGCAGGGCAGAAATTGGTAAAGGTGAAAATGTCAAATTGGGCATATCAATTCATTTGGTCTTCTTATCTCACTGTTCAAAGCTGTTTTTGAAATAAGAGAGGTCTTAGGCTAAAATAGTGATAGATAAAGCTGTAAATTGTTTTGGTTAGAGTGTTATTAAATTATCTCTATGATCTTAAAGAGGATAACCAAAGTTGAGAAGACCTACAATCCAATTTTAGAAACAGTAGTTTCTTCTAAAAGATTTGTTTTGAGCAAACACAGACTGCCAAACCTGAAGAGTTAACCACTTCCTGCCGGGGAATCTGGAATCGGAGACGTACGGTTTACATGCGTGGCCGGGGTCTCCGAACTCAGACAAA